AAAGGGCTGGTGGGATTTGTTGTGTCATGGTTTGTTGATGGTTGTAATATTCGGTGACAGTGGCTGGGGGAATGTGTTTTGTGATTTCGTGTGGCTGTGCGCGGACATCTTGGGGGCTGGAGATTTTGTATTGGCGGTGGCTATAATATTCGGAGACTGTGGCTGGGGATATTTGTTTTCGTGATTTGGCGTGGCTGTACGTGGGCACCCTGGGGGCCAGGGAATTGTTTTTTTGGAGGGTGTAGTACTCGGAGACAATAGCTGCGGGAATGTGTTTTTGTGCTGTTGCGTGGCTGTGCGTGGATATCCTGGGGGTTCGGGCATCTGTTATGTGGGTGGTTGTAGTATTCGGAGAGAGTGGTTGGGGGAACCTGTTTCGTGATTTGGCGTGGCTGTGCGGGGATATCCAGGGGACAGGGTAGGCTGGGGAAGGAGGAGGGCTTGTCAGAGAGATGACAAAGTTAGTGAAGCCACCTCAGCCCAAATGGCTGGGGGGATTCAGGCGCAGTCATCACCATCATCATCATCATCATCATCATCATCATCATCATCATCATCATCATCATCATCATCATCCTCATCCTCATCATCATCATCATCATCATCATCATCATCATCATCATCATCATCATCATCATCATCATCATCTCTCCATCTTCTTCAGCATCATTGTCATCATCATTATCTCCGTTTTCGTCGATCGTTGAATCTGAAGTGCAAGCTGCACCGCAGCCGTATGTGTTGCGAGGCTACCTGTTTACAGAAGTGGCACCCTTCACACTACACGACTGCATAATGTCATTGCCGGTCAGCTTCACCGCCCCGCGAGCTGCGACCGAGGCTTCGGATGACACTGAGTCTCGCGTTGGTGGGCAGTTCGGCGTCAGCTCTCTGGCGGACACCATGGCCGAGATTGACGGAGAGGTTGCCCCCCTCACGTGCGGCTTCCGCGTGCACTTGAAGAAGCCGCTCCCACCGAACGCGGATGCCATGGAGCGGTTGGCTCTGGTCGTTTCTGATGGACTGGTGAAGAAGGCGAGGGCCGAAAACAACGGCCGCACGATCTATGGCACCCTCCTGGACGAACTGCAGTACGACGCCTTTCAGGAGGAGGCCGCGTGCCTCGGGCGAGTGGAGAAGGATCGCGGGGGGGCAGAAGGGGGGGAGGGATGGCGCTTCTGCCAGTGACGTCGTCTAGTGCTGCTAGTGTTCCGATGATTTATTCATTTATTGTCGCAGCTGCTGCCTGGCGGGAGAAGGCGGAGGGTTCGCGGGCGAGAAGCCCCATACTTTTGAAGGAGTAGGCGGAGGTACCTCGCGTATGGGAGGCTGTGCGGAAGTAGTGGGTAGATTGCTTCTTGGCGATTGAGGCCCCCGCGTAGGAGGAGGCGTCCCAGCACGCGGAGCAGCGCGCCTTCGACGCTCGCTTTCGTGCACAGCGCCAGGCGGAGGCAGCGGCTGTTCTCCTTCCAGACCGGGCGACTCCTGTGATCGAAGCCCTTGCCGCGCTGCGCGGCGACGGTGGCAGCGAACGTTCTAAAAGGAGGTTCGCTGACTGCGGCATGGAGGTGCTGGCAACGGGGCAGCGGGTGGCCGCGTCTTCGAACAAGAGGGCGCGCCAGAGCTTAGAGGAGTAAAAGGGCAGCGGGTTTCTAGTGTCAGCAGCCGTCTGGCGACTTCTTGCGAGCGTGGGCAGTTTTTTTCCTGTTTCGCGGTGTAGCTTGGCGCGGCCTGCGGCAGTGTGCGGCACTATCGCGATTGGTTGCGCATTAATTCCTCGTGCCCTGGCCGCTGTATATCGTGGCTGTGTCGATGATCAGGGAACCAGTGCAGTGGAGGGGGGTGTCAGGGGCAACTTGCGCGGGTGCTGATGCGGCTTGCATGCTGTGTACAAACGGGCGAACCCGAGCCTAACAATCGGGTCAAAGGTCACAACAGCGGTGGCAGCATTTTTAAGTATCCCTCGCGCAGAGCGCACTCGCATGAGAAGTCGCGGCGCCTGCTAGCCTCGGCCTCTATGTTATTTTCTATTGCCATGGGCTGCGTGGGCCGCGTAGAATGGGGTTACTCAGGCCGAGGAATTCGGTCAAGGATAAGCTCCCGAGAGACTGCGTCGCACGGAAGAAACATCAGGGCAGGCGAGAGAGGATATAATGAGGACGTTCAGCGTGCAGCTTCGGGAACACTTTGGCTAGGTAGGGCGTTCATTCAGAGAAGAGTTGGTTGAGCATGTGCGAGGGTAGGTCGTCGTAGCTGGGGTATGGGGCTACTTGAGCAACGGGGCGTGGATGCGATCTGGCGGCGGGATTCCGAGAGTTGGGAGCTGCAGACGTGGGGAGTTACAGCCATGAAGAAACGTGGGGGTCCGTCTGGCATTGAAGAGGCCCCATGCCTGTCATCTCAGAATCAGTCGCGTTCGCCTCTTTTTGGTTTGGGGGGTCAATCCGCGAATGTCCAGGCCACTGCGTTGGATGCGTGGCCGCTGTCAGACGGCATCGGGCGCCTTAGGCTGCGTTGTCTGGCACGGCATGTGCGTGAGTCATGCGTCGTTTGCCATAGCCATTTTTACTCCAGCTGTCTCGGCCTCGAAGCCTCTTCCCCGTGCCCTCCAGTTCTGCGCGATGGCCAGTGCACCCACGTTCTCTCAACGTCGCGCCCCGGCCTCGCAGAGTGCCGCGCAGAGTCGCTCAGTCGCAGCGCAGGGCCGCCGCGGCCCGATCACCGGGGAGATTGCGGTGTTTGCTGAGCCCGTTCCAGTGCACTTCGATACCATCTCGTCGTTGTCAGTTGCATCTCTCGACTACACCCTGCTGGTGCGAGCTACCAAAACCCACGGCGTTTGGAAGACGAAGAACGGCGCGCACATTCGGGCCATCGAGGTGGAGGACGTCAGCCGCAAGGTGATCTTGAAGGAGTTCGGCGCGGCGCCGCGGGTGCTGAAGGGGTGCGCAGAGGGGGGCCTGCTCATAGTTCAGAACTTTGAGGTGCAGGAGTACGAGGGGGGGCTCAACTTGATTCCCTCTGTGGGCAGTGTCATTGCGAAGCTGCCGCCCAACGCGATCGTCCCGAGCGCTGTGACGCCCTCGCAGCTGGACATTCAGCTGTCGACGGTGAAGGACATCCAGGGGGAGCCGAACGCGCTGCATTCTTTTGCGGGGACGATCCGCGTCGCCGGCGACCCCATCACTGAGAAGCGGGCCTCCCTGGACGTCATGGTGGACGTCCAGTCTGGCGACGGGCGCCCGCCACAGGGCATCCGGCTTCGCCTGTGGGACGAGATGGTCGGGACATTCCAGAGGCTCGGGTGCAAAAAAGGATCCAGCATCTTGGTTCTGGACGGGAAGTCATGGGGTGGTGGCATCCAGGCGTGGCCAGGAACGGCCCGCATTCGCGTGTTGCCCAGCGACGCTCCGCTCCCAAGCCCTGCCCCGCCTGCGACGCAGGCGCGCGCGGCGGCGCGCGGCCCGGGCGGGCAGGGTGGCCCCCCTCGCCCAGGCGCGCCGCCTGCGACGGAGCCAGCAGCCGCCGGCGGGACAAGCGGCGGCCTTGCAGCGCTCCAGCCTGCAGACTCAGCGCTGGGGGCTGACCCTGCGGCAGCGGCAATTGAGCGGCAGCTTGCGGCGGCGCAGCACCGGATGGCGTCGACTCGCGATCCCGCGGAGCTGCAGGAGCTCGTTGTGCAGGTGGGCGGTCTGTTACAGGAGTTTGCCGTCGTGTCTGCAACGTTGCCTGGGTCATTTTCTTTCAGAACGCCCCAGACCTAGTTGTTCGTTAAGCGCTGTGACATTGCGCCCTTGGGGGCATATGTGTGGGGGGGGGGGGGCGCGTGCACTTTCGAGGGCACCAGGCCGAAACGATAAACAGTAGAGACGAAGGGCTTCTGAGGGAGGGTGTGAGATTAGGCCGTCAGCTACTCAGTGGTCGTGGAAAGTCTGTATGCGATAAAGGTTTCAGTGATTGCCCCCGCAGGACCTCGACAAGCTCAAGGAGCAGGGCGTGAAAGGCTCGGCGGGGCCGGGAGCGGCGCCGCCAGAGGGGGCAAAGGCGGGCGACGCGGCGGGGCTGGGAGCGGGCGCGACAGAGGAAGCAGCGCGGTCGACTCCCGCGGATCCAGCGGGCGAGGGCGGCCTGGCGGCGGAGTCCGATGACGGCTCAGGGCAGAAGCCCGAGGACAATGATGATGATGACGATGACGGCCCTCCGAACAAGAGGCGGAAAGTCGACGGGGGATCGACGGCATGAGCAAGTGAGGGTGAGCCGAGCAGCGCGTCGCTGCGTCCTCCAGCAGAAGGGCGCGCCGCACCTTAGAGGAGTAGAGGGGCGTCGCCTTTCTATTGTTAACGGGCGATTGGCGGCTCTCTGCGAGTCCGGGCAGGGTTTTCATTTCGTGCCGCAGTGTGGTTGCACCCGACCTGCGGGATTGCGCAGCATTGCTGCAACCAGTTACGCTTTTATTCATAGTCTGTCTGACCACATGATTTTGGGGTTTTGTCAATCATCGGAGAAATAACGCATGGGAGGGAAATTCAGGGGGCAATCTGCGCCGAGGCCGAGACGGCTTGCATGTTTTGTACAAAAGGGGCGAACCCGAGCCCAACAAGCGGGTTCAAATGTCACGTCGGTTGTGGCAGCATTTTGAATGACCCCTCGCCCGAAGCGCCTTCGTATGGGAAGTCGCAGTGCCGCGCAGCCTCCGCCTCAATACCCCTTCCTGTTGCCATGGGCCACGCGCGTGGTGCAGAAGGGACCACCTAGGCCACTGATCTAGGTCAAAGATGAGCACACGAGAGACCACGGCGCATGCAAAAGTGGAGTGGGCAGGGGAGATGGGAGACAAGGTGTGCGTGCAACAATTGTAATGCTAATTGAAATAATGCTGATGTTGGAGAGGCGATCCGAAAGCATTGGTAACAATCCTGGGGCCATTCCGAATGGGCAGCCTCCCCATCTTGCCACGGTAAGGAAAGAATGTGAGACACCTCATTTGTATAAATGATTTCCGTTGGCTTCGAGAAGAGGGGGACGAGGGAGGGCCTGCCTGAGGCTGGCTCTCTGGGAACTGCAACTTCAGCTCCTGGAACTCGCTTGCGGGTCTGCGCGGTTGCTCTTGGGCGCTTGTGGGGCCGCGTTGGATTGAATTGTCGCCATAGCCATGTGAGGCTCATTTGATAGCACGTGCAGCGCAGGCGTTCCCAGTGACTACCATGAGTGGTAGCGAGCAGACGCCCGATGGTGGCATGGGGTTTCGCATACTTCTTGGGGAGCCCGTGGCGCCGCATGCGGGGCGGCCAGGTCGAAAAGCTGCAGCCAAGGTGTTGTGCAGCGCGATGCCCCAGGCATTCGTTTCGAAGGTATTGGCGCAATGTGATGGGCAAGTTCTTGCTGGGTTCAGTCGCGCGCCCCGCGGCACATTGCCGCGTGCCCCAGGGGGGGGGCGGAATGATTGAACAGTAAGTGGGAGGCAGGACTGACGCGCAGGAGCCTCGCGCGGGGCGGCGGACCTCCCACGGCGTGGGTTGGGGCAGATTTTCAGCAGCGGCGGCCTCGCTTGGCGAGTGCAGGGAGTACAACGACGGAGCGGAGTGGATAGCGTCCTTTGAAGCGACCGGGTCGGCCCGACCCAGTAGCATGCCGAGTGCAGCGAACGTTGCTGACGTGATTGCGGAGCTTGCGGCGTTACGAGGCAACGCTGGCACCGCTGAGTCCCGCCAAGAATTTGCGGATAACAGAGGCTGCGCCAATGAACGCCGCGACGCCACCCCCGCATGGATGTTCTGCTGCGGCGGAGCGGGTCTCAGGGGTTTGGAGCACAGCTTTTGGTAAGCATCAGACGTGCATTGCGCGTCGCAGCAGGAGCAGTTGATCTGAAGCCCAATTTGGTCATTCACTGGCCGGCGGTTCGAGGCATGCAGGCGCTATCGCACACGCTGTCAGCCACGAAGAAGCGCCGTCGCAGCAGTTGACGTGCCGCCGCGTAGGCGGCGGCATTGTACATTTAGGAAGGAAAGGCGGAGGGTGAGAAACAGCATGCGGCGTGTGAGTGATCGTTCCACTCCTTGTGTCTCTGCCTCTGGTTCGCCGCTCACACCCGTGCCTCCCCTCTCGCGCGCGCCCCTCTGCGCGGCGGCGCCCCCGTCGCCCGCGCTGGCAGCGACGGCCCCGTCGCGGGCGCACTGGCCCCCGCACTCTTTCCCATCACTGCGACCTCTCCCACTCCATGCTGCAACGAACTACGCTTTCCCCGCTCCTGGACCGTTCGCAACGCCACCCCCGTTACCCGCGTGTCGCCTGCGCGCCTCGCCACAGTCACCCCTCGGCCACGTTTAGCGCCGAGGCTGAGACTGCGTGCATGTTTTGTACAAAAGGGGCGAACCCGAGCCCAACAAGCGGGTCAAAGGTCACGTCGGTTGTGGCATCATTTTTAATGATCCTTCGCCCGAAGCGCCTTCGCATGAGAAGTCGCAGCGCCGTTCAGCCTCTGCCTCGGTGTCCCTTCCTGTTGCCATGGGCCACGTGTGTGGCGCACAGGGGGCCACCTAGGCCACTGAGCTAGGTCAAAGATGAGCACAGGAGAGACCACGGCACATGGAAAACCAGTCCGCAGGGGGCGCCAGTAGAAGACCACCATGCCTGGCCAGGGCCATGCCCCGAGGCCCAGCTCTCCCAAAAAATCAGCAGAGGCCACTTTGGTGCAACGTTGGAGCGAACATTCTGCGGTTCTTCGTAAGTGCGGCGCTAGCAGGAGGAGGGCGAGGAGGAGGAGGCGGAGAAAGATGAGGAGGAGGAGGAGGAACAGCAGCAGCAGCAGGACGAGGGGAGGGAGCAGGAGGAGGTGGGAGGAGTTGGCGACGACAACGCGCGCCGAGGCTCAAGCTAGCTGGTTGGCTGCCGCAGAGCCCAACTTCGGGTTGCGCCGTGGCCGGCGGGCGCCATGGCTGCCGGTGCAGGCGGCAATGACGGAATCCACAAAGTGTCCCCTGCCCGGGGTTACGTGGCAACCCTTGCCCGGGGTTACGTGGCATCCCCTTTCCAGCTGGGGTTACGTGCTGAAGGCTACCCAATGCGGGAATTCACAAGTAAGTACCGTGAGCGCGACGTTTCTGGGGGCCTTGTGCCCCGTGGCGGCCTGCCTGGGGGCATTGTACCCGACGGTCAAGTGGGAGCGGACGAGCGAAACGGCAAGAAAGATGCAGCGGACGTGCGTGCTGCAAGGGGGACATGGACAAGGGCTGAGACAAGCGGAGGCGAGTCCATGGTGGAGCGAAGCGAGGGGCATAGAACGATAGGGCGCTGGGAGTGGTGTTGCCGCGGGAGAAGGCGCAGCGCGGAGCGCGGATGTGCGGTGCGAAGAGGAGGGGCGCAGCCCGCGCGGAGTATCGATTCAGTCGTAGTGCATGGTCTTCATAGAAGTGGGCAGCGCTCGCAAATTTTGAAATTTGTCCATAGTCGTGCTGGTCCGGATTGTAATCGTCGCGTTGTTGTTGGCTGCCGCCGCTGTGGTGCTACAGTTCGTCGCGATCGTGCCGCTCGCTGTGGGCTTGCTGTTGTCTTCCACTGCGGTGGCGGTGCAGGCCGCAGCAGGTGTCGAGATGGCGCTGGTGGTCGCAGTGATGAACGTCGGTGTGCTGGTCGGCGTGGTGGTGTTCGTAGCATGTGCGGCTGTGGACGTAGTTCTGGCATTGTTGCCACTCGCAGTCGTGGTGGCGCGGCTGTTGTTTGCAGGCGACATGGTGGCGCAGTCGTTCGCATTCGGTATGGCGGTAAGTGCTGCGGTCGTGTCGAGCAGGTCTGGGTTGCTGCCATCTGCCGTTGTCGGGGGTGCGTTGTTCGCTGCTTGTATAGTATTGGTGTTGGCCGCACTTGTTTGCGCGTTTGTGTTCGCCTTGACGTAGCAGCTGTTCATCGTCAAACAGGTGGCGGTGCTCGCGGTAGCTGTCGTGGAAATCATGATAGTCACAGTTGCTGTGGCGGAGTGTATTTACCCGGAGGCTACAAATCCCCCGCCGGTGGTCCCGCGCGCGCGGGAGGGCGTCGCTATCGAAGGTTTTTCAAAACGGCCCACGAGCGGCAGCGGGGCCTGAATGTCTCACTGGCGCGCGCTCGCGTGGGCGCGGGCGCAGTTGATTTACCCGCGGGCTACAAATTCCCCGCCCTGTGCACGCGCGCGCGCGGCTGCGGAGTCGCAGCGGAGCTCCTGGAGGATGCCCGGGGCAGTCGGACAGGGAAAGGCACGGCCGACTTGCGCGACGTGCGCTGTTGTTGCATCATCGTGAAATCGGCGTCGATGGGCGATGCTTGTGCGCAGCATGCGCGCGGGGGAATGGAATCTGAAGTTAGCGAGAAACGTCGTGTGACCCGCGAGCCTTGGAACAGAGGCTCGAATGGATGCGCCGAGTATTGTGCGGAGTGGACCATGGTAGGGTGCCACGGTCGCAGATTGTTAATTCGGAGTGCGTTGGCCCGTCTGCTGATGTGTGTTTCCGAGCGTCCTCCCCTCTGTTTGGATTGGAGGTCTTTCGTGTGTCCGTTCGTCCAGCTCGTGGACGGTGTTCATTTTCGTGCGGTTGTTGGGCACGGTGGTGATGCTGCTTTTGGTTTCCCCTGCGTGGATCAGAGCCCCGTGCTCGCAATTCTGCGCCTGTGCGCCATGTTGGGGTCCCGCGCTGCGCGTGATGGCTTTCGCAAATGGAGAGACGATGTCCACAGTGAAACATTGGAAGAGTGCGTTGCGTTGACGGAGAAGACGTTGCAAGGCGCCACGTTGGAGTGCGGACTGGATGGTTTCGGCTCTTGGGAGAGATTGGCACGCGCGTGGCCGCTTTTTCCGCCGGCCGCGGCGGAAGCCTCGGAAACTGGGCGTCGCGGTGAACCGGTAGCGACGCCCCCGCTGAAACGGTTGCAGAACCCGGAGAACTATTGCTGGATCAACGCGGCATTACATGCTGTGTTGGCGCCGCGCATCGCGCGGGACGCGGTTCGGTCAGCCCCGTCGGCGCCTGCGAGACATTGGCATGCGGATGTGGCGCGCCGCATGCGCTGTGGTGGTGCTTGTCAGAACACGGTACTGGTCGTGCAGACAATTTGCGTCACCACGTGCAACAGCGACGTGCTGTTGGGGATGCGTCCTTGGTGCACGTTTCAAGGCCTGGTCGATGAGACCACAAGTGCTTTGCGTTTCTCCAAGGAGCATCCCGTCCCAGTGATCCTCTTGTTGGAAGGTTGCCGTCCCGCAGCTGGATTGCGTGTCCCCCGCGCGCAACCCATTTCAGCGATCGCATTGTTGGATCCGCCTTGGGAGGAATTGTGTGCACGAGGCGCGCCCGATGTTGGAAGAGGCGATATCGCGCGTGGGGCACAGCGGCGGCGTTGGCCATGGCGGGCGTGGTTGGCGCGTGGTCGTGTTCATCCCTTGCTACGTGGAAGTCGTAGAAGGGCGAAACGCTCGCACATTTTTGAATTTGCGTTTTTGGGCATGGCACGCCTT